GGTCGATATCTAAACAGTTAAAAAATTTACCTAATCCATTGATCTCGTAAGGTATTGTATTCATCTGCTTAGATAATGATTGTTAATTTGTGGATCGATATAAATATTTGACATTATACCGCCATGCAAGGATCAAAGTATCTATTACTATGATATGTATTTTAAAAGAGACAATATACAAATTTATAAACAGTCGATTCTGTTAAATTTTAGTGAGATCAGGGATTTAAATAGTGTAGAGATTAAACGAGGATCACCAAATATTTGCAAAAGTAGATACTTTGATCATGCACTATTGTTAATCATAATATAAAAAGTACCTTGTCCAGCTGTATCTAATACTTCAATCATACATGGATAACCATCAACGACGGCCTGTTTACGATACGTAGATTCTACTGTTGGATCGTAAGTCTGTTTTAAGTGATAATAATAATAAATTTTCAATTATATGCAGTGTTCATATTTTGTATCAAAATAAATTGATTTAAGTACCTCTGTTTAATCAATTTTAATAAACGACAGTCAGGAAAATTTTATTAATGAATTAAGTCATTAAAATAGATTATTTTTAAATTATTAAATTTACCAGGAAAGCTGTTTAAACAAAACTAAGTATAGTTTAAGAAGTATTGAGATTAGATTTAATAGTGATTTCAAAAAATTGAATATGTATTTGGTGTACATACTTGCATAGTAATTGCAGTCTAAAATAAATAAAACCATTAATATTATAATATATATTGTAATGACACCCAAAATTAACCATTTTAAGTACCTTTCCAGTGTTGCTGTCGCCGAGGACGACAATTTTATGATTTTGCATAGTTTAACTATTCTTTGGATACGGACGGTATGAAGATGCTAAATATATATATATGACAGAATATGAGTAGCGGTACGTACGTAGTACGTGTGTCTATCAATGAAATCTTGAAATCTTGAAATCTTGAAATTATCACGTTTTACAAGTCGCAGATATCCAATATTGTGCTTGAAATTAATCAATATTTATACATTTAATTTGTAATCAAAAAAAATAAAGAATACAGTTGCTTTATACAAGTCCTAATTTAATGAAATTCTTGATTCTAGCAAGAGTAAAGAATACTTTCTAACTCTTTGTTAAACTCTTTCTAATAACAAGAAAAAACTTGAATGAATTTGCTATTAATGGTCTTTTTTTATAATATATATGATATATAAGTTTTTTATGGTTTTCCTTGTAAAATATTTTGACCAATAGGAAGGAAGTTATTTGAAACTGTAGCTAGTACGTACATAACGAATAACATGTTACCTAAATAATTGGCATAGTTTCAAAAATAAGGATAAAGTAGTGTGGCTTTGTAATATCGCACATAATAGGAACTCTTAGTAAAATTACTTGTATTCCCATACGTCAATTACAAAAATGCTGTTTGTTCAGTTGATCATTACAATTAGTATTACCGAACAATTGCACAGGATGTGTGTCCGGTGTTAAATTCATTTAAAAATAATAATGATTACAAGATTAATAAAATAAATGATGCGATGCTGTGCTACGACTTGGTTGGTTATTTATCACGTGGACAACCTGACAGGCAAACAAACAAACATCTTTCCAGTATCGAAACTAACACGTAATTAAAATTGTAATACTTATCAATATTTATAGATCTGCATTATCGCGTTATCGTGTTATTGTTAGATATCCTTTGAAAATTTTTGGTAGCAATAAAGAAATTTTCTAAGCAAAAATACTGTATTTAGAGCAATCAGTAAATATAATCATATATTTGTTATTTTAATAATTTAGAAATTCGGAGCTTGGACCTACTTGGATATGGACATGGATGTCCAAAAAAAAACTTTGGACGTCAAAAGACAGAAATGTAACATACGCATGTACATTTGTATTAGTATGCACGTTATATGTATTAATGTTCACAAAATCTGTAATAATTAGTTGTTCGAACTCTATTATTAATCGATTTTTATTACGTATAATAAATATGTGAACAGGTTGAATCGATTAACACTGATGTAAAAATTAATAAATTGAACCATTAAATATAATTATAAAATCAAAATTTTTCAATTTGGAACCACAAAAATTTTGTTAACCGTTTAACCGCGTCGCTTAATTATAAATTACATTATTAATCATAATTACTCGTTTAATCGTCTAACCGTTCAACTGTAATCGTATAACCATTTATTTAATCGTTTAATTTACACCAATACGTTGTATAACTAACTATTGGGCCTTTAACCGTTCGTAGTGATACTAGACAATAATATTCTACAATGTTGTACGTTGAATCAAACTTTTGTGGATTTCGAATCAACTTGTGCAAGGAATTTTAACTGATTCGGTTAGATAGTGTTGGTGGTAAAACCAACCAAACCGACTGCGTTCAATCACGTGTCACGGGCCCTAAAGCCGTGACTCAAGACCCGAATCAGAGCCAAAGAATGAATCGGTTCCCCTACTAAGCCAGGAATCGTTAGGCTCCGACACCCTTAAGCACTAAGCCCGGATCAGCCTTAAAAATCTGTAATGATGTAAGAGAAGCCTTAAGAAAATTATAAGAGACCGCTGATGAAATCAGCATTAAGAAGCCCCAGGACCGAGGAACAATGGAATCCCTACATGAGGCATTGCGAAGAAAACCATGGGAAGACCACCTGGTTCAAAATAATAACCAAGCATCGCCAAAATAAGTGAATTGGGCAGT